TTGCCCATCTTTATTTCTTTAAAAAGATTTTATTTATTTATTCATGAGAACACACAGAGAGAGAGAGAGGCAGAGAGAGAAGCAGGCTCCATGCAGGGAGCCCGACATGGGACTCAACCCTGGGTCTCCAGGGTCACGCCCTGGGCTGAAGACGGCGCTAAACCGCTGAGCCACCCAGGCTGCCCTTTGCCCATCTTTAAAGTGGGGGAGTGAAAAATTTACTTCTTGGGCAGCCCGAGTGGTTCAGTGGTTTAGTGCCGACTTCAGCCCAGGGCCTGATCCTGGGGACCCGGGATCGAGTACCGCATCAGGCTCCCTACATGGAGCCTGCTTTTCCCCCTACCTTTCTCTCTCTGTGTGTGTATCTCGTGAATAAATAAAATAAAATCTTAAGAAAATAAAAAAAATAAAAATTTACTTCTTAAAGTAAATGGGAGAATAATATAAAATTATGAAAAGAAAGGGGATGTGCATATAATATTAGCTCCCTTACCCCATCATCCCGAATGACACAGCTTCCATTTCTTGTATACGTACTGTGTGATGTGTCAGGCGTTTCTCAGAACTCATCTCTATTCTTCACATGAGTCTGAGTGAGGACTGTCTTCCCCATTATATAGATGAAGGTTATAAAATGGAGGTTTAAAAGAGGTTTGATTACTGGAGCAAAGTCATATAGCTAAGGAGTCGGAAGAGGCAGAATTCAGATGCTGACTATAGCCCATGGTATCACGGTTATACAGATTCCCACTCTCAGAAGAAAAGTTTCCTGAGACCCTGTCACACACCCTTGAAGTCTCATATAGCTCAGAATGGACTTGGAACCCTATGGGTCTATTAATGATACACACACCCACATTGGTGAGACCACCAAAATCCCAGCCCTCCTGTTCTCTTTGGGTTATCACCAGCACCTGTTCTGAAGTCCCACACAGATACCCAGCCTCATACCTCCCTCGCCCTCAAACCTGTGTCCTGAACCTTTGCTTGATGACTCATCCTCCAGCTCATGATCACACCTGAGAATTGGCATCTGGTTATCCTGCCAGCTGTGCCTTGCCCTGAGGGATCCTGGACACTGTGACCCTGGAACCTCCTGACTCAGCCCCTTGGGTTCTGAAGGCCCATTGTTTCTGACTTCCCACTTCTTCTGGGAAGCTCCTCTTTCATTTCACATAGCTCTGGTGAAAATGTCAATCATAGTTTTCCAAACCCTCCCATCTACACACCCAACCACTGGGATGGATGCATGACCCAGGCCAAGCCAACAAGAACTTTCTTTGCTTCCTTCCTAACAACAAGGATTGAGCCAAGGAGTGGGTTCAGTTCAAACTGAACTAATCAGAGTTCTTCCCTGGGAGTAATATTAAGATGCCAGGAGAATGGAGATCTTTGTTTCTGCTGTATTTGCTTAATTAGGTGTGTCAGTAGCTGCTATGTTCCCTCCATCTGAAAAAAAAATCCATCTATAGAGGCTAGAATGAGATCCACAGGAGATGGAAAGAAATTAAGCAGAGATGAGAAACAACTAACTCGCCCCAGAAAGAAAAACAGAGGCAGAGAGAAGTAAGCAGAGTGACAGAGAAAGTGTCACACACACACACACACACACACACAGAGAGAGAGAGAGAGAGAGAGAGACTAAGAGCAGAGCATGTGTGAGAGAGCTGATTGGCTTAAGTCACCATTTCAAGTACTTGAAACTCTGGTACCTGTGTCACATCCTCTGACATCATGAACCATCCCCATAGCCTTCCTAGCCACCTAAGCCAACCATTCACTCTTGTACATAAGTGCTCTTGTACATAAGTTCTAACTGGGACTCTGGCATTGCTATCCAAAATCTCCCTAAGTGGATCTTTCCAGCTTTTGTCCATGCCTGGTGTTCCAATTTCCTCCCAGACTCCACAGTCCACCATCCTACTCATGAATTTCTGGTTGACCCTGGACAAGTCTCTTCCCCGTCTTGATCTCAGCCATGCCCCTCCTTAATACTATAAATCAATCTTCAAATGTTCTCTGGTTTTGTTTCATTGAGGACATTTAAATATCACCTGGATATCAGGTCATATTAAGGAATTAGTACTATCTCTATAAGGTGTGATAATGTAAGGTGCTTATGTTTTAAAATAATCTATATTTTATAGCTGGAGTTGGCAAACATTCCTCAAAAAGAGCCAAATAGTGTTTAGTTTAGGCTTTGCAGATCATGAGATAAAATTGAGGACTTTATGTAGGTACTTTTAACAAGAGGGAAAACTGGAAAATAAATTTCTAATTTTAATTGATGAAATCCAAAATATAGTAATAATCATTTGTTACCATTTTTTGTCATACAGGTCTATTAATGAGTAAAATGGAATTCTTTTTGAGGGATAATATTTTCTTAAATAGAGCTTGATGCTCCCTGTCATCAAATCAAGTAATAAAGTCTATTTTTAGCTCTTGGGATTTAGCCAATTGGCTTCAGTTTGCCATACCCTGTTTTATTTTTTTTTTATTTTTTGTTAAGATTTATTTATTCATGGGAGACACACACAGAGAGAGAGAGGCAGAGAGAGAGAGAAAGAGAGAGAGGCAGACACACAGGCAGAGGGAGAAGCAGGCTCACCAAAAGGAGCCGGATGCGCGACTCCATCCCCGACCCCAGGATCATGCCCTGAGCCAAAGGCAGACACTCAACCGCTAAGCCACCCAGGCGTCCTACCATACCCTGTTTTAGAAACATATAACAAAATATTTAAGAACAATATGATGGTCAGCATTCTTTTCAAAATATTCCGTCATTAGGGAAGTGTGTAGTATAGGTGAAAGCAATGATTTTGACTGAGTTGGATGGTGGTATACCAGCATTCCTATAGCATTTTACAAATGCTTAAAATTGTTCATAATAAAAAATTCTAAAAGAATCTTTATTTTTAAAAAATATTTTATTTATTCATGAGAGACACAGAGTGAGAGGCAGAGATATAGGCAGAGGGAGAAGCAGGCTCCCTGTGGAGAGCCTAATGCAGGACTGGATCCCAGGACCCCAGGATCACAACCGGAGCCAAAGGCAGATGGTCAACCACTGAACCACCCGGTGCCCCTAAAATAATTCTTTAGACTGAGATGATCCTTGAGTATCACCTCCAGAAATGCATCCCTGGCTCCAGGAATTTACTATCAGTCATGAAAGACTTCCTCAGGATTTCTCGTAATCTAGAGGAGGAGGGTTCACAGAGGAGGGAGGTTGATGCAAGCGAGAAGCATCCCACACACCCACAGGGTTGGTGGAGAACTGCCCCATCCAACTGCTGGGACCGAGAGCCATCCCCTGTCGGAAAGCCAACTACCCACTGATTGGATGGGATGGTCACCTGACCAGAATGCAGCCAAACCATTGGCCATTCAGTAGCCTATCATGTGGCTGGCTGAAGGAGGAAAGTTGACCTGGACCAATTGGATTCTCTTGCATAAGAATATAATCTGGGAAATTCTGGAACTGTGAAGCTGTTGGTGGTAGATGAAGGTGAAGTTCAGAGGTTGTGAAGTAAGAAGAGAGACTGGAGCAGTGCATGAGGGAGCCAACACTATGAAAATGCAGAAGCAAGGGTGCCTGGGTGGCTGAGTCAACTAACCATCTACCTTTAGCTCAGGTCATGATCTCAGGGTCTTGGGATGAGCCCTACACATGGCTCCCTGCTCAGGAGGCAATCTGCTTGTTCCTCTCCCTCTGCCCTTCCCCTACTTGTGTGTGCTCTTTCTCTCTCAGATAAATAAATGAAATCTTTAAAAAGAAAAGAAAAGAAAATTCAGCAGCATGAAGAAGAGAAAGCAAGAGTTAAAATGTTGGTAGCAAGAAAGGAATGAATGAGTTAAAATGTTGGTAGCAAGAAAGGAATGAAAAAAAAAGAAAGGAATGAAACATAGGTGAAGAGAGATGAGATAGAGGGGAGCCAGTGCCCATCCTGTTGCAGTTTACAATAACCACCTCCTCCACACACATCTTTCCCAAGACAACTTACATTGAGCCTCTACTCTAATGAAAACTCCCCCAAATCTCTTTTCCTGTGCACTTAAGTATGGACACCTGCAATGAAGTGACTCATTTCCTTCTACCACAGCAGTAAAGCTCTAAGCAGTGAGAAAGATCTGTTTCTCCCAAGGAAAAAGGATCTGTCTCTAAGAGTTTTGGGGGCTGTCAATATTCTATTTCTTCATCTGGGTGGTGGTTCCATGGGTGCATGTTTAAGCTGTTCAAGTATTTCCTGCACCCTACTTTACATATCTTATAGTGGGGGAGGGGAACTCTCCTCTCAAAGCTTAGGAACACTTTAGCTAGGATGCCTGGCTGGCTCAGTGGTTGAGCATCTACCTTCGGCTCAGGGCGTGATCTTGAGGTCCTGGGTTTGAGTCTTGTATCAGGCTCCATGCAGGGAGCCTGCTTCTCCCTCTGCCTATGTCTCTGCCTCTGTGTGTGTATGTTTGTTTCTCATGAATAAATAAATGAAGTCTTAAAAAAAAAAAAGAAACGTTTGAGCTGCTCAGAAAAATTAAACAGAAGTTCTTTCAAATCTGTCTTTTGCAGGCCAGCCCATTGGATATTTGGAAATCCTTGCGCGGGGCAGCCCAGGTGGCTCAGCGGTTTAGCGCCTGCCTTCAACCCAGGGTGTGATCCTGGAGACCTGGGATCGAGTCCCACGTTGGGCTCCCTGCATGGGGCCTGCTTCTCCCTCTGCCTGTGTCTTTGCCTCTCTCTCTCTCTCTGTGTGTCTCTCAGGAATAAATAAATAAAATTTTTTTAAAAAAGGAAATCCTTGTGCGTCTTCTCCCCTGAAATTAACCTCCCATTCCTCCCAGCCCTTCCAGAAAAAAAGGGGGTCACTCCAAGCAGTGGTGATAGCCAGAGTGGCCATGGAAGTCCTAGTCTCTATAGACCCCATCAAACCTCCCAGAAAGGTGCAGACCCCAGTCCTTCCATCCCTCCCAGCAGGGCCAAAATACAGACAGGCAAGGAGCCAGGCTGAGTTGTGAGTTTATTGAAGGGGGTCCAAAGCTTGTCCTAGCATCAACCCCTGCCACCTATGGTCTTCTTGATCCAGTCCAAGTAGCGGCAAATGTTGGTGTAGACACCAGGTCTCTCAGGCCGCCCACAGGGGTCTGATCCCCAGGATGTGATGCCCTGCAGAACACCACCACACACCAGCGGACCCCCGGAATCTCCCTGGATGGGGAGAGTAGAATACTTTCACCTAAGATGCCTGGTGATACCAGTAGTTAGTATTAGTTCTATAGCATGTTGTTTCCCTCTAACCAATAGGGATAAGAGCATTGTACCCTAGGGCCAGTGGCGAGAAAGAGGGATTGGGCTTCACGTACTGGGACATAGACCAGATGTCCTAGGGAAATGAGTGAAATCCTGACCAAGGAGAGAAGAGAATGGTGTCTCAAAGGTCCAATCCAGAAAGAAGACAGTGAGGATTACATGGAGGAAAGTGAGCTGTTGTTCCTTTCCTAGCTAATGGTGAAAAGATCTTTGAATCCAGTTACCAAATATATGAGGAAGAAGCAGAGTTCCTGTGGACACGCGCACACACACACACACACACACACACACACACGCAAGGAACAATGGCCAGAGTCTTTTGGGAAGATATCATTGTCTCTATGAAACAGGAACCATCCCAAGAGATTAGATTTCATGGGACAACACTGATGGAAATGACTTCACTCCTAGCCAATGGGGAAGAAAGCATTGAAGCATTGTCTTCAGGGACCAATCATTAGCAAAGCAGGTAGGGCTTCCATGAGGAGGGGAAAAGCCCGGGGGAACCCTGAGGACCCAAACTGCAGTCAATAAGAAAGAGGATGTTATATCTATGGCAAATCCCAAGATTTGTCATCTTGGGTATGGGGAGCTCATCAAGGGACCATTAAAGTCAATGGTACCATTTCCTGGTCAGTTGGCAAGAGAGCATTACTCCCCAAGGGACCAATCATAGGAGAAGGCAGCTGTACTAGGGAACCCAGTCAGGTCCCAAAGAAAAGTGGTTGACTACCTGGTCAGTGATAGAATCAGCACAAATTCCTGAACTAGTGCTGAGGACGGGAGCAGGGAGCTTGCGTACCCTCAGAATCTCTCCCTCATGGATATCTCCTTTTACCCCCTTACCCCTGCCCCTCTATGCACCCCATCCTGAAGACAAGGGTTCCCAGGAAAATGATAGCAACAATTCAAAAGTTCCTGATCCCTGTGCAGTGTGACCTGTAGGGAGAGTGTGACCTTCTCTGAACATGCTTTCCACTCTAGAGATAGGAGTAACCTCTCTGGATACTAACTTTTTGAGGTCACACTGCTGCCAAATCTTGAGCCACTATGGAGGGTGAGGGACAAGAGAAGAAGGGAATTTTAGAAGTCACTCACCTGGCATGAGTCGGCCCCATCGCTGTCGCCTGCACAAATCATACCATCTGTAACTTCCCCGGGGTAGACATCCTTACACTTCTTCTGGGGAAAGATTTCTACTTCTGCACAGTTGAGGGTGTCAGGAAAATTCTCTGAGGGGGAAGAGGTTGTAAGTTCCCAGAGAGAGCAACCATTTTCCCCTCAGTCCCTGCCTGTCTGGATATACCCTCCCTTCTGTGCATCTATGGCTGCACAAAAGAATTTGCTGACACATTTCACAGGACACATCACTTCTCACCACATTAAAAAAAAAAAAGCCATGGCCCCTGCTGTTTCCTTTCCAACATCTAGAGAAGTGCTGTTGGACTCTCTACCTTCTTTCTTGCCCAGTCATTTTCAAATTAAGGATCAGGTGACCGAAAGATGTGGAGATGCCCCTTTGTGACTCCTCTGATCCTGTCTCTCCAATCTTCCCAACCCCAGACCACCAGGTCCCCAATTTCAGCTAAATCCTACTTCTCCCAAAAGTCACCGCATCTTAGACATCTTAGACACCACCATCTTAGAAACCTTCCCTGACCATTCTAATAAAGATATCATGCCTCCATCACTCCTTATTCTCTTATTCTCCATGATATTTCATTATAGCACTTAACCTTACCTAATAATTCATTTTATATGTGTTTATTTATTGTCTACTTTCCCCACCTAGCATGCAACTCCAGAGGACAGAGACTTCACAGTACAGCAGCTGGGGCATACCAGATGCTCACAGATAAATGTTGAATTAATTACTAAAACCAGAATTTATCATGTAATGTACACCACAGTGAATAAAGTCAGTTATATTGTTACAACTTTGTATGGTGACAGATGGTAACAAGACTTATTGTGGTGATCAGTTTGCAGTGTATGCATACTGGACAAATGTCTGATCATTATATTTACACACAAAACTAAGAGAATGTTGTGGCCAATTATACTTCAATAAAAAAGAAAGAAAATGGAATTAATCTTTCTTATTAACCTTTGAGCAATAGACTTGAGGGGAAAAAACTTCTATCTGGCACCTCTGTGTACCAGAAGCTGTATACTCACATTCTCATTGATTGTGAGAAGTCTGAACTCACAATAGCTATTTGAAAGAGAGGTACAGGGACACCTGGGTGGCTCAGTTCCTTAAACATCTGACTGTTGATTTGGGCTCAGGTCGTGGTTTCGGGTCATGGGATCGAGCCCCAAGTGGGTCTCTGAGCTGAGTGTGGAGCCTGCTCGAGATTCTCTCTCTCCCTCTCCCTTTGCCCCTCCTCTTACTCTCTTTATCTCTATTTCTCAAATAAAGATATAAATCTTTTTATAAAAAAGAAAGAAGGATATGTTCATTCATTCCATCATTCATGCATCCATGCATTCATTCCACAAATGTTCATCAGACACTTACTGTATACCAGGAACCATCCTGAGCCCTTATGGAGCTTAAAAATCTATTACCTATTACCTAAAATCTATTATCTAATCTTAAAAATCTATCATTTTGCAGATGAGGAAAATGAGGCCAAGAGATGCGAAGGGACTTGCACAGAGGAGAGGGCAGAGCCATGGTTTGAACTGACCAGACTGAATCATGAGCAGGTGGATTTCCACTGCATGCTATTGTCCCCTTAGAAGTAGGAGTCAGACAGATAGGGGTCTGAATCCTCCTTTGCTTGGAAAATCCTGGATTTCTTGGTAAATCACGTCTCTCTCTGAGCTGAGCCTCAATTCTCTCACTGTGAACTAAGGTGAGGGGCTGCCTAGACTCTAATGTCCCAAAAGGGGGACTTCAATGGAGGTCCAGATTGAAGAGGGAGCTGGAGACCTACACTGAGGGTCTTGGGGGAGGAAGGGACTGTACTTCTGGTGTGAAGGAAGAGAGTCCCTGGCACCAGGAATCATGGTTCAAGAGGGAGAAGATGCTTAGGAACTTATTTTCTGGGGCCACTTGGAGCCTATATATCCTAAGTCTGTTAAGAAGATTATAGGAAATCCTGTACAACGAAAGATCTCATAACATGGTGCTCTTCATGGGGTGCCTGGGTGGCTCAGTCCATTAAGTGTCTGCCTTTGGCTCAGGTCATGATCCCAGGGTCCTGTAATCAAGGCTCAAGTCAGGCTCCCTGGTCAGCAGGGAGTTTGCTTCTCTCTCCCTCTGGCCCTGCCCACCTCATGCTCTCCCTCTCACGCTCTTAAATAAATAAATAAATAAATAAATAAATAAATAAATAAAATCTTAAAGCAACAAAACAGTGTTCTCCACCATGAAGGAGGCATGCATTCTTCTCTCCCTCTCCCTCTCTCTCTCTCCCTCTCTCTCTCTCTTTCTTTTTAAGCTGGGTGTGGAGCCCAACATGCGGCCTGAACTCACGACCCTGAGATCAAGACCCTGTGATCAAAACCTGAACTGAGATCAAGAGTTGGACACTCAACCGATGGAGCCACCCAGGTGCCCCAAGGAAGCATGCATTCTTTCATCCACTCATTCAGCCATCCATTTTTTGGGAAACTGGTTTAACAATCTGCTATTTTGCTTTCTATCTCCCACCACTCCTGTTAATATTCTGGCCTTCAGATTTTCCAATATGGGCCACCTGTGAATCTCAACTTCACAATCACTGTCCTTTCTCTATCTTCTTCTTCTGAAGGCAAAGCTTTGCCAATGGCTTGAGGTCCACTGGGCCAGCCAGCTCCTCCTCTCCGCCCTACTACCTCGGGGGCTGGTGACGGTGCCCCAGCCTGAGATGGTGCACTTCTGGCCAACTTCAGGGCAGTGATCCGCCAGGTTGATGGGCTTCACTTGGGGCCCCAGGGATGCCCGACCACGTAGTCGGATAAGCATGAGATCATGACTGTGGTCCTCATTGCTCCCGTTGTAGCAGGGGTGTGGGATGGACTGAGCCACAGCCATTTCTTGCTCTGAACTGTCTTTATTCTTCAGGCTGTGATCCCCCAGGCGTACTGTGTACTTCCTGCAATGGTGGAGAGTAGTTTGGGATCCAGGCAGGAGTCTGGGACCCCAGTCCCCACCTCCCTCAGCCCTCTTCTTTCAGAGGGTCAATCTTTAGCTCTCTCCTTTCCCCCTATCCCCAGGCGCCAGTCCACCTCTGCCTCAGATGTCCACTCACCGTTTTTTACAGTGGGCTGCTGTGAGGACCCAGTTGTCATCAATGAGGACCCCCCCACAGAGCAGCCGGACGCCCTGGAACAAAGCTGTCTGCCAAGGCTGCGAATGGGCCTCACACTCCTGGCCGCCGAGCACCTTGGACTCCTGTGCCCTCACGTGTCCTGCAGCAGGAGGGAGAGGGTTTGGATTGCCACCCCCCTGGGGCAGTGCAGAGGCCAGGAAGACCCACTGTGGGTTCAGACACACAGCCTGCCTCCGCATATCTCCATACTGGGATTGTGAGGCTCCCAGCTTGCACAGGCTGCCACACAGGTGCACACATATCCGCTCATTGAAGCCTGTGAGTCACACAGAGTCACACACCCAAGCATGCTTCCACATGCTCCCACATGTGTCCACATGCTCTGTATACTGTGCATATCGGCACCCCTCAGCAAGCAGCCCTGCTGCCTTGGTGTGCTCGTGCAATATGCAGCATAACCTGACACACTCCTACCGACTGCCATGTGTGCATGCCTCCATTCCCCCCCAGGAAAGTCCAAAGAAGTTCTCACATGTGTTCGCATGTTTCATATCCCCCCGCATGCCATCACAAGCACCTGACACAGCATTCCCGCAGGCTCCTGCCAGGCCCCCCTTACCTGCCCAGGCTTCCAACAGCAAGAGCAGGAACATCCAGGTCCAGACTACAGCAGGTGGGGGATGTCCCATGGTGGGGTCTGGGAGAGGAAGAAGGCAGGGCTGAGAAATGAAAAGGGAGGAGCCCTAAATCCTAGGAGAAACTTGAAGGAAGGGAGCAGAGCATCTGGAGCCATTCTTCTGGGTCCTGCAGGAGGAAGGACCTGGGAAACCAGCTTCTTAGGTCTGAGGAGGAAAGGGAGCACAACCCAGATTTCTCAATCTGAGGAGAAGAGGTGCGGAATGGATTCCTACATTCCCAGGAATGGGAGAATTAGGGTCCCAGAAACCTGGGGATCTGAAGGAAGAGGGAACTGGGAGTTGTTTCCTAAGTTTTGGGGAGGAGGGGCCCTGGAGCCAGATGCCTGTATCTGAGAACTTTGGCATCTCACCTTGCAGAATCCGGGGGGCGGGGTCACCGACTGATTCAGACCCAGAAGAAGAGGCCCCAGTGCTTCAGCTCTGTCTGCCTGGTACTAGGTTCTGGACGCTTTTAACTGGGAATCCCCGCCTCCCGCTCCGCCTCCTCTGGTGCCGGCAGAGCATCTGGGAACTGGAGCCCTGTGCATGAGTGAGGAGGGCCTGAGGAGCTGAGGGAAATCTTGAGGGAGGGGTGGCTGGGACCTGGAACTCCTCATGCTTGGGTCTGAAACAGAAAGAGCCAGGATCCAGACAACTGGCTCCGAGGGAAAAGAGGGCTAAGGACCTGGACTCAGGACCCAGGGATGGTAGGGATTGGGGGGTCTGAACTCCCGGGTTTGTGGGAGAAGGAAACTGGAACCCCGAATCCTGGATCTGAGACTGGAGGGGGCTGGGGACCTGGACTCTAGGTCTGGAGGAAGGGTCTGGGATTCTAGACTGTAAGTCTGAGGGAAGAGGGACTGGGGGCCCAGACCCCTGAATTGAGGGAAGGGAGGTAAAAGTCTGGACTCCTGGACCTGGGAGGGGAAGGAATGAGGTTCTGGACTCCTGAGTCTGACCGCATAGGGGGCTGGGGACCCGCACTTCTGGGTCTGAGAGGGGAGGGGGAACAGGCCTGAAGTTTTGGCCTGAATTCTTAAGCCTTTTTAGGAGTGACTGGAGCCTGGGTTCTTGTGGGAGCAGGGGGCTGCTGCCACTAACTGGGAATGGAAGAAAGGTGAGTCTTCCGAGGGCGGATCGGGCCCGCCCGCTGCCCCCTGAGAGGCCTGGGATCTGGGAAGGCAGGTTTGGGAGGCACCGTGACCTGATTTCCCCTTTCCCTGGGGGCAACGGGACCAGCCCGAGCAGAACCCAGCAGCCTTGCTGCAATAGGACTGATGGAGACAGACTTTAGGCAGGACTCAGTAGGGGTTTAAGGGAAATTGCTGTCCGGTGGCGGTTTCCTGTCTGCCCCACCGCCGCCCCACGCGTTGCCCTTCCTTCACTCCACAACACAGGCAGAAGGAAAGCGCGGCTCCGGTCGTTTATTGTAAAATCATTCACTGAATCTAAATGAATTGAGACCCTTCTCCAGCTCGTCTAAGTCGGGTCCCGGCCAGGATTCAAACGCCCCGGGGCGCGGGCACCAGGGGGCGGAGCCCGACGGTGCATCGGTGGCTCACGTGGCAAGCTGCAGCGCCCCTGATGTCATGGGGGTGAGATTTCCCATGGAGGGGGCGTGGCCACGGGGGCGGGGCCCGGAGGGGAAGCCTCATTGGGCGAAGTTCCGAGGGGCGGGGCTGTCTGCTGGAGATGCTCCTGGAGCGGAGCTGCAGGTGAAGCTGTTCCGCTGGGATGGTACCAGCTGCGATGACGTCACAGAGGCGAGGCTACAGGGGCGAGGAGGTGTCTCCCCGCTGCTTTCCCACCCGGAGGGCCCTCTGGGCGCGGAGCCTGAATATTCAGAGCGCGTCTCCGGGCCGCTGAGGCCACGCGCCGAGACCTCTGAGGCCGGAGCCCTGCAGTACCCCGCTACCCCGCGCCCGCCCTCCTCTCTTGGTCACCCAGGGCACGAGGGCTCAGTTGTCCTCCATGGTCTTTCGGATCCAGTCCACGTAGTGGCACACGCTGGTATACACGGCTGGGCGCCGGGGTCTGGAGCAGGGCTCGGCACCCCCAGACACCACACCAGCCAGGGTCCCGTTGCAAACCAGGGGGCCCCCAGAGTCACCCTGTGCGCAGCAGAAGAGCAAAGAAACTATTAAACAAGCGCCCAGTTTCCTCCTCTCCAGACACTTTGGCGTCCAGGTAGTCAGTCCCTCCTCCCTCAGACCCAGGAGTAAGAGCTCATAGCCCTCACCTCACCCCTGTACTTAGCACTCTGGGATCCTAGTCCCCTCTTCCCCCAGGATTTATTTATTTATTTATTTATTTATTTATTTATTTATTTATTTATTTATTTATTTCTATTTTTTTTCCATTTTGACCCAACGTTTATTGTCCTTTTACAACATGTCATTTTTGGTTTAGAAACTGCTTGTGATTAGTTTTCCAACATTAACTCAAAAGCATGTAAAATAAAATCAACCTATTCTCTATATAAACACCCAGCTACTGTGGCCCTTTGTCCTACTGCCCAGGTTGGGTAGAGGGAAGAAGGGAGGGTGTGGGTAGCACTGAGTGAAGTGCAGATGCTTGTGTTTCCCCAGGATTTAATGTCTGTACTCCCAGTCCTCTCCTCCTTTAGAACCTAGAGTCTGGGCCTCCAGTCCCCTTTAAATCCAGGAATCTGACTGAGGCCCCATCCTCTCCCAGAACCTAAGTGTCCCAGGTCCCTCCTTGCTTTCATCCAGAAATCCTGGGTCCCCAACTCCCTAATTCCCTAGGACCCAGGAATCCAGCAGGATACCCATTCCCCTCCTCCCCAGAGTAGGTCTCACCTGGCAGGAGCCTCGGCCCCCCTCCCAGAGGCCGGCACAGAGCATCCCATCCGAGATGTGGCCCGGATAAGCCCGATGGCAGAGTTTGTGTTCCAGGATGCTGATGTTGGCACACTGTAGCGTGAGTGGGTACTGCACTGTTGGCAAAAGGGGCCCACCCATAGAGGATCAACAGCTGTGCCCATCACACTCAGCAGCCCCTCCACCCAGACCCTTCCCTAAGGAGGACCCACGGAGACACAGCAGAAGACTCTCAAAGATAGAAACGAGAGACAGTGACAAAGAGAATTATAGGGTGAAAGAGAAATAGATGTTTGAGGAGGGAGAGAGACCCACAGAGAGAGAGAGAGAGAAACAGAAAGACACAGAGAGCCAAGAACCAACAAGAGATATATTCATGATGCACAGAGAAAAATAGAGCCCATGACAGGAGATAGACCCCTCAAGAGGAAAGAGATTCTTACGTGCAGGAATGAAGAGAGAGGAACAGGCCCAGATATGCCAAGGGAGAAGGCAGTGAGAAAGGGAGGAGACATTTGTGGTCATTGACAGAGACAGAGATAAAGACTTAAGAGATAGTAGTTACAGACAGGGAGACACAGCATGTATAATATAGATATGGATATAGATATGCATATGCCCACTTATATAATCTAGGGGCACAGATTCAGATGGGCTTGACAGGCAAATAGAAGTGGGTGGAAGGGACCTGTGCAGACACAGCAGCCAGTGGGGGGGGGCACTGCAGGGGCCCAGAGAACCCACGTCTGATCTGAAGGCAGCAGCCTCCACTGATCCTGCCCAATGGTAGCTATTTGGGGAATGTGGGTCTGGAGTTGCCAGTTCTTTTTCCCAGCAAACTAAGAAATTTGGCTTTTCTGTAAAATCTCCCAAGCTCAGACTATTTTTTCAAGGCATTTTGAAAATGAAGACGGATGTGGGAGGCTAAATATGGCTAATGGGTTGCTGATTTGTGACTCTGAGAGAGAGGCCTCATTTCAACTCCATGATGTGTATATTTTCATATTTAAACATCTCTGAAATCAGGGAGTGTCTTCCAGTAAATGGTGTCATACAAGAATTAATGGGAACTTTTCCCCCCTGTTCTTATTGGTTGTAAATAATGATGCATCTTAAAATTTATAGCATCTTCATTTTTTCTCTTTCTATCATCTATCTTATCTATCTATCTATCTATCTATCATCTATCATTTATTTATCTATCTACCTCAGAGATGAAAAGGCAGAGACAGGGGCAGCCCCAGTGGCGCAGCGGTTTAGCGCTGCCTGCAGCCCGGGGTGTGATCCTGGAGACCCGGGGTCGAGTCCCACATCGGGCTTCCTGCGTGGAGCCTGCTTCTCCCTCTGCCTGTGTCTCTGCCTGTCTCTCGCTCTCTCTGAATGAATAAATAAATAAATCTTTAAAAAAAAAAAAAGAAAAGGCAGAGACAGAGAAATGGGGGATTCAGACTCTCAGCCTGAGACACAAGGGATTGAGTTGTGGGCAAGGCTGTACCCTTAGGACTGGACACGGCCCCCCAGCCTGAGATGAGACATTGGGTGCCTGGGGAGACGCAGGTCTGGCTGAGGTTGAGGGGCTGCACAGCAGGTCCCAGGTATGCCTTCCTGGGCAGACGGATCAGCATGATGTCATCACTATGGTCATGAGCCCTGAGATCCTTGTTGAACCCAGGGTGGGGGAAGAAATCCGTGGCCCGGAACAGTTGCTCTGGACCCTCCCATTGCCAGAGGTGGTGCTCCCCGAGGCGGACCCACAGATACCTGTTGGGACAGGCTTCAGAGGTCAATCAGGCTGTCCAACAAGGTGATACGTGCTTCAGAGGCCACACACTGTCTCTGGGCCCCCATCATTTCTGTATGACCCAGAGTGCTGTGTGATTTTAAGCAAGGTACACATTCTCTCTGGGCCCAAGTTTCTCACTCCTTCCATTTGTCTGCCTTTACCTTTGTAGCTCTCCCCTAAAAGCTTACACCCCTTCCTAGTCCCATACCAAGTAAGCCACCTTCCTTCCTGCCCCACCTGGAGCCTTGGTGGTGACCTAGGTCCCCTGGAACTGTGTAGGCACACAGGGGCTCCACCCACCACACAACAACAGCCCCACCCCCTGTCCCCACAGGTCTGGTGGCTTCTGTGGGGCGTGGCTCTGTGTGTGGGGTGTGTGTGTGTGTGTGTGTGTGTGTGTGTGTGTATGCATGGAGGGGGATGGGAAATGGAAAATCCTCAAGGTGGGGGTCATCCATGGCCTCAGGCTTTTCTTGTCAGCCTATCCCTCACCCTCAGTGCATGTCTTCCTGAGGCCTGACCTCAATCTTTCAGTCTATTTGTTCTGCTCTGGGTCCCTGCCCTGGACAGCTGCAGACTCTCTGGGGGTGTACATGCCCATGCCTTGGTCTCTAATCTCTGATCTTAGGGACCAGGATTATGACTGCAAATTCAGGATTCCATCTCTGTCACCTCATTGCCTGGACTCTGTGTCTGGGAAACCAGTCTCCCCTAACTCAACTCATCCCCAAGCCTGAATCTTTTCTACTTCCACATCTCTGCTTCTCTCCTTAGCCTTTGGGGCTGAGATCTGAACATCGTTCTCCTGAGTTGAAAGAGGCACTATCATGGAGCAGTGCATGATGGGAAATTCCCACACAGCATTGTGTACTTCATTCAGCACCTGTACTTCATTCCTGGAGGGAAGAATATCAGAACAGGATGGACTGCCCCTTTCTTGAGGTAATATAGAAAGGATTTCTGCATCAGCTAGATTCTAATATTCTATTAGAATGTCCAGTATCTAAGATTCTAGAAATCTAAGATACTAACACGCTAGGAACCCACGATTCTAGAATTTTATGTTCTAGAATGTCATGAAACCAATATTCTAACATTCTAGATTTCTCTAGATCAAAGGTCTGGGGTTTTAAAATTATCTGAATGAGACAAGGATTTAAAGAGCCTAGAATTCAAGTATTCTGGGACTATAAAATGAATTTCATCAATCTATAATTTTATGATTTTAGAAATTTAAGAATCTAGGGTTCAAATAATTTGAGGCTCCAGAACTCTCTCAAAATTATCTGAATTAAAACTTTGGGTATTTTAAGAGTCTGGAATGATAGCATTCTAGATTAGGATGTTTAATTCACCACATTCTAGACTTTTATGAATCTAAGCTTTTAGAATTCTATTGATGTAAGATTCTAGAATTCTGCAAGTCACACTATTCTAGGATACTGTGAATCAAAGATTCTAGGACCATGAGCTTTTATATTCAATGAACCTAGCTAGAATATTGAATCTGGGGTTGTGCTATCCCATATGACTGAGCCCTTGAAATATGACTAGTCCAAGTTGAGACATGTCATTTTGTGTAAAATGCATATCTAATTTCAAAAGTGTAGTATTTTTAAGAAGACTAAACTATACCATTCATAAGTATTGATAAATGCATTGGATATTGATACACTATTTTGACCATGTCAAGTCTATTATTAAAATTAACATTAATCATTTCTTTTTCACTATTTGTAATATGTCTACTAGGAAATCTAAGCCTAGCTATGTGGCTGGAGTTACATACCCACATACAGCCACAGGGCAGTGCTGCGCTAGACTCCTCAGATTCTACCAGAACCTGAGTCTCCGATTCTAGAATTCACTGAAACTAATGTAAAATCTCATGGATCTGAGATTTTAGGAGTCCATGACTCTGGATTTTTCTGGGTCATAGGCTTTTAAGAGCTTTTAATTGTAGATCCTAATAATTAGATTATTCGGGACCCTAGAATTTGGAGAGTCAACTCTAATTCTAATAGTTGAACTTTTGGGAACAAAAATGAAGGCTAAATCCTTCCCAACTGCAGCTCCCTCCCTCTTCTACCAAAAGCCCCTCAGCCCCCTCATCTCCAGCCCCGCCCCAATGGTGCCCAGTCACTTACGGCTTGTGGCAGTGGGCAGCTGTGAGCAGCCAGCGGTCACTGATGAGGGAAGCCCCACAGAAGAGATGGGTGAGGTAGAAGAGCCCGGCCTGCCAGGGCTGCGAGTTGGGGCGGCATTCCTCGGCCCCAATGGCTCGGGTGTCTGCCCAGCCATGCCCTGGGGTTGGGTGGAGGCAGAGGGGTCAATGGTGAGCACGGTGGGAGGGCTGGGGGAGAGGTACTGAGGTGCCTAGTAAGAAGGAGTGGAAGCCTGCAAGCTTCCTTCAAGGGCAAGCTGCCTGGTGGGGCTCCTGGGACCATGGAGGGGCAGCAGGATGGACTACAGGAGCCTCACCTGCCAGGAGAGAAAGCAGAGCACAGACGAATCCCAGCCTCATGACCTTGGGGTGCCTGGGTCTTGAGCATATGTTCAGGTGAGCAGTCCCTCTTCAAGGTAAGCCATGCCCGCTCCTTCCTCCTCTCTGGGGCCGCCCCTGTGATTAATCTGGGTTGGGAAATGTCCCAGGGGGAGGGGGAAGCTCTGGGGCCTTGACTGGGGGCCTTGGGAATGGAGGCATGCAGGGGGACCCCCCTGCAGGATGAGCTGGTGGCCTGCTGGGCGAGGGTTGGGCTGAATTGGGAGGAGCCCTAGGATGTGGAGTGTTCCTGGGATCTCCAGAGAAGGGAACCCTCATTCCCATGATCTTGGGATGCAGGACCTGGATACAGGATATTCTATGGTCTGGAGGAGGAAGAGAGAGAGAAAAATGATCCCTGAGGCTGGCTCCTGAGGGAAGCAAATTTATCTTGAGTGAAGTTGTAGTGAGCTGGGACCAGTGTCCCAGGCAGGCTAGAGGGAGATGCAGGAGGACTCCAGAGAAAGCATGTGAGGGTTGGGAGAAAGAACAGAGACTCAGTAGAAAGAAGGCAGGCAGGATGGGGCAAGACAGAGAGAGAGAGAAAATTTAAAAAGAGAGGACAGAGATACAGAAGGATCCAGGGTGAGAGAAGGAAAGAGAGAGACAGACTGAGCAAGGCAGAGACCACAAAGGGCCATACACATGCACACACCTTACAGAGCCCTCCTTGCTCTGGGCATCTGGGCCCCTTCTCGCAGGGACAAAGGCTTCTCCTAGAAGATTGAGGTAATATGGTCCCAACTGGATTAACTCACTCTCATCATAAACTACCCTACCCCCTTCTTCATATTCCTACCACCTAAGACCCACATGCCCAACTGCCTGGAACGAAACACTTTGCTTTTCTCTTAATACCACCAGATCTTGGCTAAGTCCTGAGAACGTTGCCCATTTTTTCATCTCCCCCCTCCCACTATCCTTCCTACCTGCCTCTCTCCCTATCTCTCCTCCTTATCAGGTGGGCAGCCCCTGCAGGGCCAAACCCCAAGTCTGATTCATCTCTGTGTCCCCAGAATCATCTATTTAGGGCTGAGCTCTTGGGAGGCCTCAGGAGATGTTAATTAAATGAGTGAATGCCTTTCTCCATAGTCTTCTTTTCCTGGTAAACTCCTACTCATCCTTCAAGAGTCAACCTAAATGTCCCCTACCCCCAAGTCTTCTCTGATTTCTTTTTTTTAAAGATTTTATTTATTTATTCATGAGAGAGAGAGAGAGAGAAAGAGAGAGAGAGAGAGGCAGAGACACAGGCAGAGGGAGAAGCAGGCTCCATGCAGGGAGCCCAACGTGGGACTCGATCCTGGGTCTCCAGGATCACGCCCTGGGCTGAAGGCAGACGCCAAACCGCTGAGCCACCCAGGCTGCCCATCTTCTCTGATTTCTTAAGGAACAGTACATCTTTTCTTCCCTGAGCTCTCGCAGACTCCCCCACTTTCTGTTGTAGTAAGCCTGATTATCACTCTGGATCTGGGCTCCCCTTGGATGCATCACTTGGTGTAGTGGTTTCGAGCATAGATTCTGGAACTGGACCACCTAGATCCAAATCTCAATGCTGGCAATTATTAGGTGTGTTACCTTGGGCGAGTCACTGCACTTCTCTCAGTTGGCCCATCTATTAAGTAATAATAATCCAGGTTGAGGGGTGATTGAGTGAATTAACCCATGTGAAGCACTTACAACAGCGCCTGGCACATGGTAAGCATTCAACAAATGTAATAAGTCTCCATCTCCTATAGAGTCCTGCACTGTTCCCATTATAATACACATCACTTGTGGTTGTAGGGTGTCTTATTCTCTCTCCAGTCAGGGAGGTCCATCCTTGAAACCAGAGACCGAAGAGCCACTATGTGTTAAGCACCATACTAACTGTTTTTGGTAACACCTTGATAGCTACCTTTTTAAAATTTTTACTTATTTTTTTTTTAAGTAGGCTCTACACCTAGCATGGCACTTTACACAGGGCTTTCACTCATGGCCATGAGATCAAGGCCTGAGCTGAGACCAAGAGTCTGATGCCCAACCAACTGAGCCATCCAGGTGCCCTATGATAGCTACCTCTATTGGCCATACTCTGTGCCTGGCAGGTAAGCATTTCATATATATGATCTCATTTAATCCTTGGAAGGGTCTATTCAATCTCTATTCCACAGAGGGGAAAACTGAAAGAGAGTATTCCAGTAATTTTCTCAAGGTCACAAAGTAAGTGACAGAAATACATTTCCTTCTCTACCTATTACACTCCTACTTACCCTTTTAAACCCCATGCAAATGTCCCCTGATCTGAGAAGACTTCCCTGACTCTGGAAAGAGTGCATGGCCTCTCCTGAGGGCACCCTGTGCCTCTTTCTGGTACAGCGCTGATCAATTTGTGTTGTTTATCCAATGATGTATTGAGTGGCTTCTGTGTGCCAGGCACTATGCCAGGTGCTTAAAATCACAGTGAATAAATCAAAGCCTCTGCTTCCATGGACTGAGTCTGGAGAGAGAGGGGACAGATCATTATGCAGTAAACAAATAAATGTGGTCATTTCAGCTCTAACAAGTGCTGCAAAAGAAATAAACTAAGCGATGGATTGTTGTCCAGGTGAGGGCAGGGGACCCCTTTAGCTAGGGCAAACCTGGAAGACCTCTTTGAGGAGGTGACCTTTGAGTAGAAACCTGAATGAGTAGAAACCTGAATGACAAGAATGGAAATCTTGCCTGTCCCCCTGACCTGACTAGCAGCTCCTTGAGGGTAGAGTTCGAGCTGATTCATCTCCAGGACCTAGAGTAGAACATGACTCAGTAAACACTTGTAGAGTGATGACTAAAGGAACGGGTGATTTGCCTTTAAAAATGAATCGAGTTCCCACCTTCTTCACTCTGAGTCTTCCATGACAAACTCAGCTGATATGCTTGATTGGCGCTTCCTGGGTGTGCTAATGGGGGCAAAGGAAGGGAGCTGGAGAGGCTCTGTGCTGGAAGCTGTGTGCCAGTCTTCTGTGGGCTTCGTGAGGGCAGGGATCTTGTGGTCACCACAAGGATCCCAGTGCCCAGCATCAGGCCTGTAATCTAATAGGGGCTCAGTAAATTGGCGTTTGAAAGGGGAAACAAGGACAACCAGTGCTGGATAGAACATTCTGTTGTGCATAGGTTCACCTGATGTTACATCTCTAGAGTCCAGGCTAAGTGGAGACACCCAAACATCTGTTAGCTCTGCCTGGATTCTGTGTAGAATACCACCAGGGTAGGAATATTTACATGGAGACACTTTCAGGGTGAAGAAAAGAGCCCTTCTCCTTCCAAATTTTCAGAGCAAGATTTCCAAGCCAGTTTGGGATAGGGTGGGGATGGCAATGGATTGGGAGTTGTGGACATTGAGTCAGAGGAAGACAATGATGATACGATGGAGCTGGGACTGGAGCTTGTGATTAGTGAGGGGATGGAGAGGGATCTAATAAAAAAATTTCCCCTAAATCTCAGAGGACTTCTTTACATGGACTTAGTAACTAAAGCAGGAAGAGTCCCTCTGGTCTTAGAGGCTGAGATGGATCTGGGGTGAGGTCCCTTAGGGTCCAGTGGCCCCAGGAAGGCAAAGAAGGTACCAGATGACTCAAGAGTAGCCCAGCTCCTGCTGGGACAGGAGGAACTGGTGTTGGGTGGACACAGATGTGGGAAACAGTGGGAGGGAGGAAGGAAGTGGTTAAGGGGCACTTCATGGAACGTGACAGGAGGGAGAGGAATGTGATTCTCCCATCAGCCCTGAGATGGGCATTGCAGATAATTAGAGCAAGGGGGCTTGGGATTTGGGGCTACCCCTGTGCTTTTCTCCCCAGGACACAGGGTCACATATGTTCGTTCTCACCAGGACCTGTTCACAGATCATGACCACAGGTAAGATTTAGTCAGGGCTCACCAACCCCTGCATTAATGCTTTACTGATAATTACCATAGCAACCTACACACTCGTTTCATATGATCATCTCCGCATAATGCATATATGAGGTAGGCACTTCATTGTCCCCATTTTCCAAGTGAGGAAATAGAGGCCCAGAGAGGGTACTTAGCTTACAGGAGGTCACAGAGCAGGGAGTGGTAGAGGGAGGCAGGTTGAGTGCGTGACAACTTCTCTGAGAGACTGGGTGACCACCAGCTTCCTTGCTTCTTTTGAATAAAACTTTGTCCCACTTATGGCTTCAAAGTGTGCAGACAGCAGCAATAGGCAGGGGGAGGTGAGGGAAGAGGAGAGATGTTTGAGGGTGTGGATGGGCAGCAAAGGTTCAAACAGGGCAGGGGGAGAGTCCAGCCCCTGCAACTTCAGAGGAAGTAGCAAGAGGGCAGCTGGTGGTGTTGCACGGCCTCTGGGTCAGTTGGAGCGTATGGTTTTCTCTATCCAGGAGTTGTATTTGCAGATCTGGGTGTAGACAGCTGGATGCTGAGCAGAGCCGCAGGGGTAAACACCCCATGAGAGGATGCCCTGCAGGGTCTCATCACAGACCAGAGGGCCACCAGAGTCACTCTGGGGGAAGGAAGGAGATCAAGTAAATACAACAATCCAAAGAAAAATAAATTTAAAAAATACACCAATCCAATGGCTGCCACTTGGGGGTCTGGGATAGTGATAAGGAAGGGATTTGGGTGGGATTTGGAAGGGATTTGGCTAAAGATGAGGTTGGGATGGGGTTGGGATTAAGTATGAGCTTGGGTTGGGATTGGGCTAGTTTGGGGGTTGTGGACATCAGATAGGGGGATGCAAACGAGAATGTGCTGGAGCTGATACTATAGCTTGTGGCAGATGAGGGGATGAGACAAATGGAGAGATAGGGATGGGGTGGGGGCTTAGGAATGGCCTAAAGATGGGAATGCAGTTGAGGAGAGGGTGGGAAGTGGGTAAGGCCTGGCACAAACAGGTGGAGCCAAGGACCTAGAGTCAAACATGGGGATGACGTTGGGGTAGGGATGGGATAGTGTTGGACATGGGGTGATGCTGGGCTGCGGTTGGGGACAGGGATGGGGCCTTCTGATTTCTCATAACTTCCCTATCCTGGCTCCCATGAGTCAGACACCCTCCCTGGTCAGTCCCTACCTGGCAGGGGTCCTGACCCTGGTCCAGTCCTGCACACATCATGTTGTTGGTGACCACACCAGGGTAGAAGACCTCGCACTCTTTAGGGCTCAAGACAGTGACCCTGGAGCAACTCAGGCCCTTGTTGTATTTCACTAATGGGAGGAAACAGTAGGTAAACCCATTGCCAGCCCCCAATCTTCCAGGACCTGGGAGTCCATGCCCCCAATTCCCTTCTCCCTCAGACCCAGAAGTCCTGGCCCTCCAGGTATTCCCCAGGATACAGGCCTCAGGGCCCCAGCTCTTGCCTCTCCGGGTAGCTGTGGTGCCCCAGCCAGCAACCTGGCACTCATCTCCAGGCTGGGCACAGCGGTAGGGCAGGCGCAGGGTCTGGATGCGAGGCCCCAGCACAGCAGGCCTGGCCAGCTTTAGCAGCATGAGGTCATGCTCGTCTGTCCGCCTGGGCAGGATGGGGCCCGAGCCATGGTGGTACTTGGGGTGTATAATGGGGCGAATAGTCCGGCGGAGCTGCTCGCCCTGGAGAAGGAGGAGGTGGTCGTCCCCTATGCGAGCCCACAGAGGCCTAGGGAGGGAAGAGATATATGAGGGTAATGCCTTCTTAGGGATTGGGACCAGACTCTGAGTCCCTGGGTGGGAGGGTACTGGTAGCAGGGTAGGAGCTTGGACTCCTGGGTCTGAGGGAGGAGTGGAGGAGGATCTGAGTTCTGTTTTTTTTCTTTTTTTTTTTAATAAATTAATTTTTATTGGTGTTCAATTTACCAACATACAGAATAACACCCAGTGCTCATCCCGTCAAGTGTCCCCCTCCGTGCCCGTCACCCATTCACCCCCACCCCCCACCCTCCTCCCCTTCCACCACCCCTAGTTCATTTCCCAGAGTTAGAAGTCTTTATGTTCTGTCTCCCTTTCTGATATCTCCCACACATTTCTTCTCCCTTCCCTTATATTCCCCTTCACTATTATTCATATTCCCCAAATGAATGAGAACATACACTGTTTGTCCTTCTCCGATTGACTTACTTCACTCAGCATAATACCCTCCAGTTCCATCCACGTTGAAGCAAATGGTGGGTATTTGTCGTTTCTAATGGCTGAGTAATATTCCATGTAAGGATCTGAGTTCTTGAGGGAAGTATGATTAGGGGTTTGGGTCTCTGAGTTCTGCAAGAATTGAGGGCTGGGGGCCCATCTGGGTAAGCTGCCGTTTCCCTCCTGCCTCAGTGGGGAATCGAGGTGGACAGTTTCCTTACTTCTAAATGCCTAACCACAGCGGACCTTGGCTTCTGTCTGCTGCATACAACTATCTACACTTCAAAGGAGCCCAAGGAGTATCAGCAAGACGGGGGTGGTGGAAGGGCCCAGAAACGCTTAGAAGGACCACACCGCCCCCTGGCGGCCACAGCGCAACCCCACCTCTCCTCCTACGGAAAGTCCTCCCGAACTGACTCCCACCCACTTGGGGTCAAGTGCCCCAGCCCTTCCCGCCCCCTCCCCCGGGCCTGCCTGCACAGCCCCTCCGTGGCTGCCCCGAGGAGTTCCCCCTACTTGCTGTTCCCGCAGTGCGCGGCTGTGAGCACCCAACTCTTGTCCACCAGGACGCCCGCGCAGTGGAACGAGAGGCCATTGAAGAGGGACACCTGCCAGGGCTGCGAACCGCGGGCGCACGGAGCGCCGGAGACCACAAGGTCCAAGCCCGTGTCGTTTCTGGGGAGCAGCACCGCCTCTGCGGCTGGAGACAGCAAAGGGGCGGCGATCAGAGCACGCAGGGCAAGGGCTGGGTTTAGGGCTGGAGCTGGGGCGGGGGGGCGGGGGCCAGAACCAGAGAAGCACGGGGAGGGGTTGGTGGAAATTGGGGATCCTGCAGGAACCGAATGGAAGTGGGAGGAGAAGGACGGTGGTAAAGGGGAAGGAGGCAGGAACCGAGCGGTCTAGAGCGAGAAGCGCGAGATGGGTGGATCTGGGGGGACCGGGACAGAGCGCAGCAGGAATGGAGCGCGACGGGGCCACCAGGGGGCGATAGAAGGCGGCGGAGCCTGGGGAGCAGGGCCGGGAGCCGCGCGGCTGGTGCGGAGAGGGCCGAGGGGCGGGGGCCCCAAGCTGTAAGGCAGGCTCGGGGAGGACTGGAAGGAGCAAGAAGGGGGCGAGAACGGGATGGGGCAGAGAGAGGGGACGGGGTTAGGAAGGGGCTGGGAAAGGAAGCCGGGAGGAGGAAGGAGTAGGGACCCAGGCGGGGGGCGGGGCGCAGGACCCCCTGGAGCGGAGCTCCGAGAGGGGCGGGTCTGACTTAGGGGCGAGCCTCCTCCGGCTGGGCGGGTGGGTCCCGCGGCCCCCCGAGGAGGAGTGGTGCGCGGGGGTTCGTGCTAAGAGCAGTCTCCCAGGGACCTCCCGCCAAGCCCTGTCCCCCGCCTCACCCCAGAGTTGCGTCACGAGCAGCGGCAGCAGCAGCCTCGCCAAAGCCCGCGCGCCGGAGGCGGTGCACAGGTGTAGGTGCGGGGGTCTCATGGCCTGGACCGGGGCTGGGGGGCGAGGGCGGGTTAAAGAGAAGCCCGGTCAGAGACACCCCCACCCCCACCCCACCGCGCCCGTCCGCCCGGCCTGAGCCAACCCAGCCCGCGGGGACCCGCTTAACCTGAGACGCTCAACTGCAGGGGCGGAGGGGCGATTCGGGCCGAATACCAGAGATGGGCACAATTACCCTAACGACGCCCCTCGTGGCCTCCTCCTGACCTCCCTACACCCGGGCTTTCCCCGGCTGCCCACTGCCCAGCAGGATTTGGGGTTCGCCCTCCTCCACAGATGGGGCGGGGGTCCGAGGCTCAGAGGTGCTTGTCATAGATGGGGAAACAGGCTCGAACAGAGCTGCCCGCCACCCAAAGGTCCCCACCCATGCTCTCGCGACCCTCCCCTACTAGGGTGAGGTGCATCCCACCTCACCTGGGAGTCGCTGCTGGGAAAGAGGGAGAAGACCCAGAAGTGCCTCTGCCCCACGGAGTGGGCTGCCCGACTCCTCTGCCCCGGGACCCCTGGCCTGGCCTTCCCTTTTAACCTCAAAGAGCCCGGAAATTCCCCCACCCTTGCCCCCAGGGATTCACTCCCTCCCTTTCCCTCTCCCTAATTATGCCGTGGGTGAGGCTGGCACCCAACCTGGGCCCCAGATTCCTGCTCTGGGAGGGGCCCCGGGAATACAGGCTTCTTCTGGAGCCTCAAACACCCTTTTTGGAGCTGGATTCCATGGGGATTCCCCAGGTCTCCTGTTCCAAGAAGTCTTCTCAGGTGCGGAGAGACGATGCCATGTCCCCGGGGAAGCTTCAGGGTCTCAGATAGTGTTGGAAGGAGGTGATTGTGACCAAGAGAGAGAGGAAGATAAACAGGAAATCAGACCTAGTGCCTGAGAAAAGCCAGAAGGCTGGCTCGGAGAGAAAAAAGCAGAAAGATAAGATGGCTATGTGGAAGGAGAGGGTCGTAGGCACATACTGAGGCACATGGAGACAGAAAGGGAGCAGAGAACGAGGCAGAGTCCCAGAGCCAGCGCAAAGCTCTGTGCAGGGCCCACTCCCTCAGCCGGAGAAGTGGGTTCACTGTGTGTTCCAGGGACTTGTGCCCCTCTTCCTCCTGCTGGGGGGTAGGGGGGCACTGCCCCTTACATCCATGTGTGGTCACATCACATGCTCCCTGCCACCTGTGTGTCTTCAGATGACACACAGGCCCATGAGTCACAGGAGGCCAAGGCCACAGAGGAGCATCAATATCACCTGGACCAACTCCCTCCTTCCAGGTGAGGAATCCAGGCTCAGAGAAGGCAGTGACTCACAGAAGGCCACACAGCAAGTCTACCTAACAACCAGGATGCCTCAGTTCCAGCTCTGGGCTTTTAACTCCTCATGCCAATGACCTCCACTGAAAGGTGAGCAGAACGTCAAAAAAGATCCTGAGTTCTGGACTGTTTGTCAGGCATTTTCTCCAGTGGGAACTGAGTCAACTCCAGAGGTTGTCCAGCTCGGCGCTACCCAACTGAACTCTCTCCAACGGTGGCAATGCCCTCTATGCGCTGGTCAGTACAGCAGCCATATGTGGCTACAGAGCATCTGATAACGTGGCGACTGTGACTGAAAAATTACTTTTCTGATTTCGGGTCATTTCCATTTAAACGGCCCTGGGTGGCCAGTAGCTGTCCTCCTGGGCAGGACAGATCTGGAGGAAGTACTTGGCATGGACATTGGAAAGAAAAACAGCGATAGCTCCTTTTCATAGGTCTAATAATTATGTACACGCTGACTTACCTATTGTGCTATCATTCTTTTACCTGCACGATTTTACAGATAAGAAAACTGAGTTTCCATCAAGGCAGTTTCACTCGGTAGTTAGGAAAGCACCTTGCTTTAAAAAAAAGAAAAAGAAAAGAAAAGAAAAGAAAAGACCCTGCTTTAGATTCTTTGCTCTCCTCCTTACTGGCTGTGTGACTGTGAGCAAGTGACTTGTTTCTCTTGCCCAGTTTCCTCATCTGCAAAATGGGCATAATAATGCCACTTAATCCTTGTGACAATTAAGTTAGTTGATATGTTTAAAAGCCCTTGGATCAGGGCCTGGCATATAGTAAGCATTCCAAAGATTCATTCGTTCAGTAAGTATTTATTGAAACCTTGGGGTGAGTGCCAGGAGCTGTCTTTGGGGCTGGGGATACAAAAGGGAACCAAACAACTATTATCTCTCCCAGAATCACAAGTCAGTACAAGGAAGGATTTGACCCCCAAGCCTCACTAATTCCAAACCCTAGGTTGATTATTAAGCTGCACCGTCTCTCATGGTCAAGGAGGCTGAAAAGAAAATACATAAAGGCGACCTCGCTCAGGCTTGACTATTAGAATGAACAAGAGCCATGTTGCCAAGTAGGGATTAGGGGGGTGTTGGGCTGGTCCTGGCTAATTATTTTCCATAGTCTTCCGGATCCAGTCTACGTATTTGCAGACCTTAGTATAGACACCAGGCTTTCTGGTGACAGCACATGGATCCTGGCCCCAGGAGATAATGCCTTGAAGAGACCCGTCACAGACCAGAGGGCCCCCAGAGTCACCCTGGGCATGGAGAGAGAGACAACCAGTCAGAAAGGAGCAGTGGCCATGGGAGAGGGGCAGGGTTGGGCACTGTGTCAGGTAGGAGATGGGGATTGGGTTAGGAGTGGGGTGAAGATTAAGGATGGGGTTGGTGAGATGATTAGGGGTGAAGTTGGAGCTATGGGTGGCAGTAAAGATGGGGTCAGGGTTGACTGGAGGATGATTGGGGCTGGAAATAAGGGTGGGAATGTGGATGGAGCTGGAGATCCCGTGGAGGTTAAAAACGGGAACCAGGGGTGGACATGGAGTTGGGATTGCAGGGGGAGACGGAGTTAGGGTTGGGAATGAGACTGTGGACATTGATAAAGAGACGGTTGAGGTGAGAGATGGGAGTGAGGCTGTGGCAGGAGACCCAGGCCCTGCTCCCTGACCTGGCAGGAGTCCTTGCCCGATTCCAGAACACTGGCACAGACCATGGTGTTTGTGATGTTGCCAGGGTAGGCCTTCTCACACTCCTCGTGGTTAATGATGGTGATGTTGGCACATCGCAAGGTGTGGGGCAGTTGCACTGTGGAAACGGCACAAAGGGGTATGGAAAACGAAGAGCCCCTGGTCCCCTTCCCCCTTCCCCGTCTGCAGTGCCTCCTCTGTACCTATACTGTGGCCAGTCCCTGTCCTTCTTGCTTGACACCAACTCATCTCTCTCCTTGTAGCCATAGCACCAGGAATGCTAGCGAGTAAATTTATTATGCCAGCTGTTCTATATATACTATCTCTGATGCAGCTCTGGTAGGTGGGTGTGATTAGCCTCATTTTATAGAGAAGAAAACCTAGGTTCAGAGAGGTGAAGCCAGGTGCCTGCAGTCCTACAATTAGTAGGCTATGGATCTGGCACATTGTGTCTGACTCTGACGCCCAGACTTTTGTCTCTACCCTCCCCAGCTCTCTTCCCCTCTTCTCTTTGATTAATCCCACCCCTGACACGGCCCAGGGAGCTTCCTCTCCTACTCTTGTGCTCTGGGACTCTCCCCTTTGAAGATCCTCTGGTTCCCTCTGTTCTTCCACAACCGTGATCACCCACCCCCCCTCCCCCACGACCCCCTCTGGAGCCCCTACACTGGGGGCTGGATGTGGAGCCCCAGCCCGAAACGAGGCAGCGGGTGCCAGGGGTGACACAGTGTGATGACAGAGTGAGTGGTCGCACAGCCCAGGTGATGAAGGCTGCTCTGGTCATCTTCACCAGCATGATGTCATTGCGGTGGTCTTTGTTGGGGAGGCTGTTGTTGAAGTCTGGGTGGGGGAAGGACTCGGTGGCCGATAGGGTCTGCTCGCAGCCATCCCGCCGCTGGAGGTTGTGCTCCCCCAGATGAACTACATATCGGCTGAGGTGGGAGAGATGGTGGTCAGAGATGGAAGGTGGGGGAGAGGCAGGAGAGGGGAGGGATAGGGAGAGACATGGGGAAAGGGTGAGTGCACCTGAGAGGACAGAGGAATATAGCTCCACTTCTGACCTCATCCTCATTTCCCACTGAAGCCTCCTTTCCAACTATATCCCCATCCCAGCACCCAACCCCCTTCCCAGCGCCATCCCAGTTCCCATGCCTTCCGTCCATCCTTCCATCCTGGCTCCTTGTCCATGATCCATGCTACCCGGTCCATGCCCATCTCAGACCCTGTCATATTCTCCCCATCCCCAAGCCCCTCTCCATCCATCTCTCCATCTCCAGCCCCCTGCTGTCCCGCCCCAGCCCCCGCACCCACGGCTTGCGGCAGTGAGCTGCTGTCAGGAGCCATTTGGGAGCGATGAGGGTTGCCCCACAGAGCAGCCGTGTCTTCTGGAACAGAGCCACCTGCCAGGGCTGGGAATGAGGAGAGCACTCATACCCCTTGATGATCCTGGTCTCTGCCCTTACATGCCCTGGAGGGAAGTGAGGGCAAAAGAGGGGGCTCAGGCATAAGAGGACTCCCAGATGTGGGGGTAGGGAGAACAGAGGAGTGGGTGGCCCAGGCCCTAGCCTGGTGTCCCACTGGGATGCACTGTCTGGATGGACCGGATATTAAATGATTGAAATCTTTCTGTACTGGTTGCTCAGTAGCTACTGTGCTGTGCTGTTTGTGTCTTCTGCCCCACTGGGGCTGCCCTGGCCCCTCCCCTGGGACCCTCCTTGACCTCTCCCCTTTGTAACATCTAAAGGGATTATGCTTGGCCCAGCAAGGGGCATTCAGGACTTCATTATGGCTCATATATCCATTTAGATGCCCTATGGGTTAGCCCTATCGGTTGTTCTATATTTTCAGCATTGACCCACTCAATATCTAGGCATAAAGGGTTGAGGAATCATAGAGATTGGAGAGGGAGGCTCCTGCCCCCCCGCCATCCCCCACCATACCTGTCACCAGAGCAAACATGATTAATCGAAGAATCATCATGGCCTGGAGAGGGGAGGGGCAGGCTCCAGATTCTTCTGGAAACAAGAAGGGACAAGGGGCCTTGGTCACTTTATGGCGCGACTAGGGAGGGACTGGTTCCTGCCCTCTCCTCCCTTCCTGGCCTGCTCTGGCTCCCCCGCAGAGAGAAACAACAGGGTTTTCACAACGTCCCAGCCTCCAAACCTTTAAAATAAATCTATGGTATCAAGGTGGCCTTGGAGGGGGCTGATCTTGGCTAAAAGCTTCTTGTAAGTAGCCAAGGAGGATGTGGCAGATGCTGGGAGGGGCTTTGACTGGGGCAAGTCATTGGCTGGCCCTGTTTCAAGTCAGCCAGCGTACCTGCACCTGCAAGATGCATTTGGGAGCATGTTTTCCCTCTTGCCCACCTGAGACCCAGCCAGGCCCCAGAAGCTTGGGGCAGGAGAGCAAAGGGAACCAGTGCCACCCAGCATCCACCCCAGGGTGATATGGGCCCTATGAGGGTTGCCTGGGGTGCGGTAGGGGGTTCAGCCTGGGACAGTACTCAGACCCTGTCCTTCTGAATTCCTTGACCCTTTGAAGGACAGCCAGATATAACTGGGTGGGGCTGACCAGGAGAAGGGTCTATGCCCTCAGCTGCCCTGGTCAGCAGTGGGGGAGGGGGTGGGGGTGGAGGGCTGGATTCAGTTATCAGAGCAGGGATCAGAGGTCACTGAAGTTGGGGACAGCCAGTCGGAGAGACAGAGAGACAGAGAAGCAGAGGGCACCCACCCCAGCTGAGAAGGATAGAGCAGAGGGTACAGAGATAGAGGAGGCCTGGCTCACTCCAGGAGTGCAGGCTCCTGCAAGAGGGTCTTCCCTTCCCTCCCCGACTCACGCACCCACGGGCTTTGGGACGGGGACTCTGGGTGCCCACTGGTGGCGCTGGCAGCTGCCGCGGTGTGGCTCAGAGGCAGATTGGGTCAGAGCATCAGGCACCAGGCAGGTGCAGGATGGCCTGGATGACTGGGCCTCCTGGCCCTGCCTTACTGCCCTGGGGGTGGGGTGTGTGTGCCTGCCCACCGCCCGCCTGCTTCTGTCACCTCCCCAAGCCCCTCTTCTCTCTGTTTCTCCCTCTACGCCCTGCATCCTTCCCCGTCAGGCTGTCTGTCAGTCTGTGTGTCTGTCTCTTCATCTCTGTCGGTTGCTGCCTCTCTATAATGCTGCGTGTCATGTTTCTCTTTGCCTCCCTATGCCTGTGCCTTTCTCTCTCTCTCTCTCTGTCTCTCTCTCTCTCTCTCTCTCTCCCCCTCCCTCCCTCCCTCCCTCTCTCTCTCCCTCTCCTTCCTCCTCCATCTCTTTCTGCAGGACTGCTTTAAAACTTTATCTTTCTTTGTGTCACTCTGTCTCTGCCTCCGTCCACCTCTCTCTCTCTCTCTCTCTCTCTCTCTCTCTCTCTCTCTCTCTCCCCACCTGGATCTCCCAGCCTCTATGTCTCTCCTGTCCCTGCTCCTCCCTCCCCACAGCCCAAGCCCAGGTGGGCCTCTGACCTTCTCTGGGCCCTCCCTTCTCCATTCCAAGGAGGGGGGAAACTGGGGCGTCACAGAGGTGGGGCTGCTGCCAGCCGAAGGGGCAGGACGGGAGGGTGGGGGAGGCAGGTTGGGGCCTGTGGGAGTCAAGGCTCAGGAGAGGGAGTCAGCCCTCTTGCAAGGCCCCAACCCCTTGTGCTCCTCTGGGGCTTCCCTTCTGCCACACTTCCCTCCACCCCCCTCTCCTGCCTCTGCCTCCCAGGAACCCTGGGGCCCCCCAAATCCAGCTGTGGCACTTACTCGCTGCGAGACTTAGGTCCGATGACTTCCGAGTCTGAGCCACCTCAATTTCCTGTCTGCCGATCCCTCTATCTCCGGACCTGCTTGTTATCAGTGAGATCTTCCTGCCTTCCTGTCTTGCCCTCCTCTCTCCCCTAACCAGAAGTGGGGCAAGATGACTGGGTATGGGCTCCTAAGGCAGCCAGCCCTGGCCTCAAACCCCGGCTCTGCCTCTTCCTACCACAGTGACGTGAGCCAAGGAACTCCACCCCGGTGAGGCTCAGTTTCTTCATCTGCGAGATGGGGGGACAGCCCTGCCTTGGGGTGGTTGGGATGAGGACTCCACGGGAGCCGAATGTAGCAGACTCCCAGCAGGAATTCCCACGCCATCACCATCACCCCTCACTCTCACACCCCCTAGCTCCCCTTCCATTCACTGGGGAGAAGCTCCCTTTGCACCTCCTGGATGGCGGTGAAGACAGAACCCAAGGGATGGGCAGGACTATTTTAAGACCTAGGCTGTGTCCTCCTGCTTTCCAAGGCTACACCCCACCTTCTATCATTACAGACGTATTAAAATGAACCCACATCCCACATTAAATATAATGTGTTCTCCACAACTCCAGCAGAGTGAAGTCAGAATTGGCTAGGTGGAAGAGTGTTATATTTTATAGATATTTAATGTGATGGTCGTGAATTTTGATTTTTTCAATTTTCATTTGGTATTTTGGGGCCAGTAATATTTTCCCCCTCAGGTCTTTCATGAAGCATGGTTCCTAGAGTGCTGGATAGAGGGGGAAGAAATGGCCCTCATTTTTGTTATGAGTAACTTTCTCCACCCCATTGCTGTGTGACCCCCTAAGGGAAAACCCTTGCCCTCTGTGATCTCTATTTATACACCTGTGAGTAGGAGAACTGATGAGCTTCCCTCCTGCGTCCACCAGCACTAGGATATCAAATAGACAAACATCGTTCCTCTTCCAGTTATATTTATTCGGATAGTCAGACATTCCTCCCTCCCCCGACCACGGGACTTAGAAGCACTGGCTGGAGGGGGAGTTCTGGGAGGAAGATCCCCAGTCCAAGAAGAGTGGGAGCCAGGGGTGATAACGGAAGAGGTCGTTGGTGCTCGGAGGGTTCAGTCAGTGTAGGCCCCAAGCTGAGGGGTGGAAGGTGGAGGTGGAGGGAGCACGTTAGTTGTTCCTCATGACCATCCGGATCCAGTCCACGTATTTGCAAATATTGGTGTAGACTCCCGGGATGCCTTTTTGGCCACAAGGCTCCACGGTCCCCCAGGACACCAGACCCTGAAGGACGTTTCCGCACACCAGGGGCCCCCCAGAGTCGCCCTGGAATACAGAAAGAGAAGGAGCACCGAATGAATACGGGAGAAATCCTGTTCTCATTTTCCTTTCCCCAAGCCCCAAGCCCATCCCCAGGCCTTGAAGACGGTGGCTCCGACCAAGCCCGGTTATCAGAGAGTAGAGCATTGCTGAGTTCCCACGTTCCTGGCACAGCGATGACTGACCAATAGAGAAGAACACACTGTTCCTAGGGGGCCAATCCCAGGGAAGGCCGGGCCCCATAAAGGGGCAGGGAAGGTGGCTCTCAAGGACATTGGCTAGAGCTCTGGCCAATGAGCGAAGAGAGTGTCTTCAATGACCAATCTCGGGGAAGGAGGTGGGGAACCGTGAGAGTTCTGTAGAGGATGACTGGCTTGGGCCCTGACCAATGAGGGAAAGAGCACAACCACTAGTGGCCAATCCCAGCAAAGGAAGGCGGGATCTATAAACATTCTCTCAGGCCCGGTGGCTGGATCCTTGGCCAGTCAGGTGGGGCAGCCTCCAACCCGGAGGACCTAAGAGAGCAAGGTAGCAGAATTCAAGGGCAGGAGAGTCCACCAGCCTCCTTTCCTGCCTCCATCCTAGATCCTCTCACTCTTGCCTGGGCCAGCATCAATTGGAGGACATATGGAGAGAGACAACCGGTTACACGCCTCAATTCCAAATCCTTGCCAGCTCTTTACCTTCCCCCATCTTCTCTTCGTCTCTTCCTCTTCCTCTCCTGTGCCCCTCCCATCTTTCCTTCTCTGTTCTCTCCCTCCCTCCCTCTATTCTCTCCACCCACTCCTCCTTCTCTCTGCCCTCCCTCCATCACCTGGGTCTCCCTGCCTTATCCTGCGCCTCCCCTTCTTTCTGAACACATCTCTCTCTCCCTCATCCTCCCTGCTCTGTCTCCTACTTCCAGCCTGGGTGACCAGGGACTGACTGCGTCCACTCACCTGGCAGGCATCCGCCCCTTCAGTGCCGCTGGCACACACCATGTTGTCTGTGATTCTCCCTGGGAACACAGCCCGGCAGGCAGCACTGGAAACAATGGAGACATTGAGGCACTGGAGCAGGTCCGGGAATGGGTCTGGAATGGAAGATAGAAGCCACAGCGTTCCCCAAAGCTCCCTATTTGGGAGCCACCTCCCCCCACTCAAGGAAGCAAGTATAAGTCTATACGCTGCCCTTTTCCTGTGACCCCCCACTACAATCCGCAAACTTCTAAATTTCAGATTTATGACCTCATTTCATAGTGACCCTTGCCCCAGTTCATTGACCTAGTCTCCTGACCTTTAACCTATGACTCTGAGTGCCATAACTCGAGACATTCTTTGTCTCTCCAACCTCAGAAGCAATGAATCTGGACCCACTTTTATTCTTAAATTCCAGATGCTCTGACCTTTAACCTTCAGTCTTATACTTAGATCGCAACTTGACTTCAAGTTAAGGTCCCTCTCTGTCTCCAGACTCCACATTTCTTGTCTTCTCTTAAACTTTCAAACTCAGCTATAAACCATTGGTCCCAATTCCAAAGTGACTTATAATCCCTGTTTATTTGACCCCGGACTCTATGACCCCTAACCTCTAGGGCTTCAAATCCCAGAACAGTGATCCCTGATTGAATCCTAGTTTCCACCCTCAGATTATGGCCAGCTTGTGCAACATCTGGATCCCATGTCCTCAACTCTACAATGACCTCTAACACCAGAATCCATGACCCCTGACGCCAAGATCCTATCTCTATATGTCCTTTGCTCCAGTTTGATGGCCCCTGCCATTGCTCTGGCTTCTAACCACATCCCTGACCCATGACTTCTGACTTTGTACCCAACCCCTTAACTACTTTGAATCCCAAGACCCCTGGTCCACCATGATCTCTGACCCCAAACCACAATCCTCATGTTTGACTCTTGATCCATCCTTCTGCTGAAATGGCATGACTCCTGATCTCTCACCCTACACCCCAGACTTTGCCCATCCTGAGCCCTGACCCCGATGCCCCCTTACTCCAGAGTTGATTGGTGATGCCCCAGCCTGAGATCTGGCATTTGGTGCCAGCCGCTGCACAGGTGGTGGGCAGGGGAAGGGGCTGGATGCTGCGAGTCAAGGGGACGGGGGTGCCCAGTCGCAAGAGCCGGATGTCATGGTCATGGCTGTGCTGGGCTCCCTGGTAACTGGGGTGGGTCATGGAGAAGCCACTTCGCCGAATCTTCTCCGTCCAGTCCAGCCTGCTGAGGCTATGCTCCCCCAGGCGCACCCAGTACCTGCTGGGGGTCAAGGTGGCTCAGCGAGGGTGGGGTGGGCCCCTGGCTCCCAGGCCCTGCAGCCTCTCTCTGCTGCTCTGCACCTCCATGGCCATCCTCACTTTCTGACAAGCTTGCTCTATCTCTCTCCGTCTCTCATCTCTTTCACCATCTTTCCACTTCCCGTGTTTGCCTCCTTCTCCTCCTGAGCCCCTGCATCCCTGTCCCTCCCTGATTCTCTTCACTGAGGCAGGGACATCCATCTGTCATGCTCCCTGCTCTGTTCCCACCACCTAGAGGTTGCCTGGGCTGTCAGTGGAAGCAAAGAGTGAGTCATGAGACAACTCTCTCTGTTCTTTCCCTGAATCAATCCATTCTTTGTGCCTGAAATTCCTTTTGAAAAAAAGCTCAGAGTTTCAGACCTAGAAATCCCGGTCTCCTCATTTTATAGATGGGATAGCTGAGGCCCAGAGAGATTGCCCAGGTTGGGTCAGGCAAAGCCTGGGTGGTGACTGAGGTCATATGGGAAGGAAGGGGAACATGAGGGAATGGGAACAAGTAGGTGGGTGGGTGCCAGGACCCTTCCCGCCCTCCACTCCACCCACCCCACCTAGCCCCAGCCCAGGCCCATTGTTGAGGAAGTCCTATTTCTTGTCTAACTATTTCTTGTCTAACCTTTTGCTGCAGGACCATCTCCTCACTCCTTGGCACCTCCCTCTTCTGAACCTCTACCCTGAGGGCTCCTCTCCCCATCACCCCTCCTTTGCCTACCCCTGGAAGGAACCACCCAGACAGGGACTTACCTGCCACTGCAGTGAGCAGCTGTGAGGACCCACCTGCGGTCAATGAGGACCCCCCCACAGCGCAGGTTGGCGCCCTCAAACAGCCCCACCTGCCAAGGCTGTGAGTGACGGGCACACTCCTTGCCTTTGACAATCTTCTCTGTGGCCGGTTGGCTGAGCCCTGAGGACAGGGGTGTGGGCCAGAGGGATGGGGTCAGAGATCTAGAGATTGGGGATCAGAGATAGGAAGAGAGATGCAGAGATGAAGACAGAGAGAGGAAGAGAAAGGTTAAAAAACAGAGAGATGCTTAAAGAAAGGAGGGAGACAGAGATAGAGATTCACAGATAGAGAGAAGAGACAGAGCATAGTGACAGGAAGAAACAGAGTAGAGATTGATCAAGATTCAGGACAGAGGTGGCAGGGCCCCGAGACCCAGAGGTGAGTGGAGGCACAGAGGCAGCCTCCTACCTACCCTCTTCAGTGCCAGGCTGGGGACCAGACCTGGAAGGAAGTTAGGGCCTCCTGTTGGGGATAAAGGGACCCCCCTACCCCGGGGAACTCACCAGTAACACAGAAGAGCAACAGGATTCTGGAACCCAGGGTGACCCACCTCCAGGTCCTGGGAAATGTGGGGGAATCTCAGAGATGGCCCTTTTCCTGCCAACCTACCCCTCCTGCCAGCAACTCCAAGAGGACGACAGGATGCCTGCCCATTCCCCTCTCTGTCCACCTTGGGTGTCACCCCATTGGTGACCATCTGCCCCCTCCTCACCTTGTCCCTCTGCCTGCTGGGTCCTCCATGTAGTTGTCACAATT